AACCGACATGGTTGGCCAACGTCGTCCTCGCACAAAAACCGCCGACGTTTAGAATGTGTGTTGACTACACTGACCTGAACAAGGCGTGCCCCATGGACCCGTTCCCTCTCCCCAACATTGATCAGCTGGTGGACGAGACGGCGGGGTGCGAGTTGATGTCGTTCCTCGATGCTTTCAGAGGGTACCACCAAATCTCCATGCATGAAGATGACGCCGAGAAGACGGCATTCATGACCCCAGAGGGAATCTTTTGCTACCTCGTCATGGCCTTCGGACTCAAAAACTCCGGCGCCACCTACACTAGGATGGTGGCCAAGATCTTCAGAGCGGTCCTTGGCCGGACGATGGAGGCGTACGTCGACGACATGATCGTCAAGAGCAGGCAGGCCACCTCCCACGCCGACGACCTCCGGGAAATCTTTGAAATAATGAAGGAGTTCAAGCTCCGGCTCAACCCCAAGAAGTGCGCCTTCGGCGTCCAGGGTGGCAAGTTCCTCGGCTACATGGTCAGCCGGAGAGGCATCGAGATAAACGCAGAGAAGACGCAGGCTATCATCAACATGGAGCCGCCCCGCAACGTCAAGGAGGTACAGCGACTGACGGGGCGCCTGGCGGCCTTAAACCGGTTCCTCTCCAGGTCAGCCGAGAGGGCACTCCCCTTCTTCCAGATCATGCGCAAGGCAAATAGCTTCAAGTGGACAACGGAGTGCCAGGAAGCATTCGACGAGTTGAAGAGGTACCTGTCGTCCCCACCCGTGCTCTCCAAGCCCAAAGCCGGCGAAACCCTCTTCTTGTACTTAGGGGTGAGCACGTCGGCCATCAGCTCCGTGCTCATCCGTGAGGACGAAGGGGTGCAGAAGGCCATCTTCTACATCAGCAAGACACTCAGGGAGGCCGCGCTCAGGTACTCCCCCATTGAGAAGACGGTGCTGGCCATTGTCCACACCGTGAAGAAGCTGGGGCACTATTTCCAAGCCCACACCGTCCATGTGCTGACCCAGCAGCCTCTTGGCGCGCTCATGAGGAGCCCCACTAGCTCCTCGAGGATGGTAAAATGGGCGATCTTCCTCAGCCAGTTTCAGATTGAGATCAAGCCAAGGCCATCTATCAAAGGGCAAGCCTTGGCCGACTTCGTCATTGAATGCACAGCAAGGGAGACGGCCGTCGCCGGCTCCGGGCCGGAGCCGGACGATACGTGGACCCTGTTCACTGATGGCTCGTCGGCCGCGAAATCATGCGGCGGCGTCGTCCTCATATCCCCTGAAGGATTCAGAGCTTACTATGCCATCCGCTTCAACTTCAGGGTATCCAACAACAAAGCCGAGTATGAGGCCCTCCTCAGCGGTCTCAGACTCGCCGCCGGCCTCAAGGCCCAGCACCTCAGAATCAAGTGCGACTCCAAGCTGGTAGTGGGCCAGGTGGAGGGATCGTACGAAGCAAAGGAAGGCCGGATGAAGCAGTACAAACAAGCGGCGGAGGAGTTGCTGAAAGCGTTTGAAACCCATGAGATCACTCAGATCCCAAGGGCCGAGAACGCCGAAGCCGACATCCTCTCCAAGCTCAGCTCGGACACCCCGGAGCACATCTCCCAATTGGCCAAGATCGAGGAGTTGAGCATGTCCAGCATCCACGCCAGCCCCGTCTTGTGCGTCCAACAGCGACCAGAGGATTGGATCTCCGACATCGCCACCTTCATCGCAACGGGGGAGCTGCCCCCGGACGAGGAGAGGGCCAAACTTGCCAAACTCAGGGCCCCAAGCTACACCATCGAAGATGGCAAACTCTACAAACGGTCCTATAACGGCACCCTCCTCCGGTGCCTCCACCAGGACGAGGCCGACACAGCCATGGAAGAAGTTCATTGTGGCGTCTGCTCCTCACACCAGGGCCCTTTCAGCATGTCCCGGCGTCTCGTCGTCCAGGGCTTCTTCTGGCCGACGATGGCACGCGACTGCGCCGACCTGGCCAGGAAGTGCACCACATGCCAGGTGCTCCAGAAGGCCCCTGGTCGGCCAGCTGTCAACTACGCCCCTGTCAGCACCGCAATTCCATTCTCCAGATGGGGGATTGACCTGGTCGGCCCCCTGCCCAGAGCCGCCGGGAATAACCGCTACATCATCGTCGCCGTCGACTACTTCACCAAGTGGGTCGAGGCGGAACCCCTGGCCAGCATCACGGGGGCCAGATGCCAAAAATTTGTTTACAAGAACATCATCACACGCTTTGGCGTCCCCCAGGAGATTATATCAGACAACGACACCCAGTTCGAGGCAGCCCCTTTCCAGGAGCTCCTCCGGGAATTTGGGGTGAGGCACCGTTTCTCCTCCGTTGCCTACCCTCAGGGCAACGGGCAGGTCGAGAACGCCAACAGAACAATCATGGATGGGCTGAAGAAGAAACTCCAGGCCGCAGGAGGTAGTTGGGTCGACGAGCTCCCCAACATCCTGTGGTGTTACAGAACCACGCCGAGGAGGGCGACAGGTGAAACGCCTTTTGCCCTGTGCTACGGCTTTGAAGCAAAGGCGCCCACGGAAGTTGCCATCCCCAGCCGACGGGTGGAACAATACGAGCCCGACGCCAACGAAGAAAACATGAAGATTGACCTGCACCTGGTCGATGAGAGGCGTGAGCAAGCTTACGTCCGAGCAGAGAACTACCGGCGTCAAGTAAAATCATACTATGACGCCAAGGTACGTTCCCGGGAATTTCAAGTGGGGGACTACGTCCTCCGCCGCAGGGAAGCAAGCCAGCCGACAGAGGGTGGCAAGCTAGCATTGAAGTATGAAGGGCCCTACATCGTCAGTGCCGTGGTCAAACCCGGCACCTACAAGCTTAAACGCCCGAATGGGTCCAATGTACCACGAACATGGAATGTACACCATCTGGTGAAGTTTTATCAGTAATCCGAAGGAGGTGTAGACGGCGAAGCCCTCACCCCTTAACGGGTTACTGATTGAACGCCACCCTCGGCCTCGAGCCACTTATGAATAAAATCATGTTCTGATTTTTTCTCTGGAAATTCAAAGTAAAACATTATCAGGTGCCCTCGTCGGCCACCTTAGAGCGAAAGGCTCAGGTCTGGCCGACATGGCCCCTTGCATTTGCAGCCTACGAGCGACAAGCTCAGGCACTCCATTGTATTTTGTATCAGCGAAGGGCTCAGGCCTAGCTGAGAGAGCACATCGTCCTGGCCCCGTAAGCCTAGAAGTGAAACACTCAGGTATGGCCGACGATGTCCCCAGGACGAGGGGCCCGCAAACGGCCCACGTCTTGAAACGGGAAGCTCACCGCGTCGTCCACGCGCCATAACGCAGGACGACAGGCCTGAAATCATGGCTGAGGTGACAAAATCCCAAAACTCAGGGAGGGGCAACGACAGCCGTTGGAAACCGACCAAAAGTCTAGCCCGCGTCATAAATAGGCGACGGGACCCGCCCTGAGACCACGGACGTTATAAACGAAGTCCGAACCGGCCGAAGGACGAGCACACCCTTCGGCCGAAGCCTGAAAGAAGGATATCCCCCGAAACGAAAAAAAAAATATAAGGGAAAAAGATGGAAGCCGACGGCCGCGCACACTTGCCGGCCTCGAGCAATGAAAAAATATAATCCCCACAACTCAGGCCCAACTAGGCCAAGTACATATCAGTTGAACACAAGTGTAGTACCACAAACAGGTAACATGGACGACACGTCCACGCACTACAAGGGAATGATCAAGGCCGACACACACGCCTACAAAACCCTAACCGCATCGGTTGGGTGACACGCGAGAGGTGACCTTCATCGGCCATAGTCCTTTGAGGCACCAACACTTGGTATGAAACAAGGCATCGCAATCCTGAGGATAACCAGGACGAAGCGGGCACTTATCACACCCACGAAAGGATCAAGCAATCAAGAAACAACCACTATTTGCCACAGCACCTCGGATGGCCGACGCAGGCACTGGAACCAAGGCCGTTGGTCGACGAAGGCAGGACCATCTCCTTGGACAAGCCATTCCTTATCCAGCACTCTCATCGGCCACAAGCCAGACCTTGGCCGGCAGCGGCACCGGAAAGGAGTAAATGCCTAACAGTTATACTTAGGAAATTATCTAAGTACTCAAACAGAGGAACTCTAGCCGAAGCGGGTATACTACAAAGCCGTTAGCTACCTACACCTCTGCATGTGTACTTGGGAAAAATTCAAAGTCCACAACACTATGGTGAAGGTGCCCTTATCGGCCACAACACAGGGATGCAGGCCGACAATGACACTGGTTCAATAATGGGGAGAGACTAAACCCCATGGACGTAGCGGACACCGCGATCAAGGGCAAAAGGAAAGCACCCAAGTGTTATGATGACAACAAAGGAGCACCGGTCAGGCCGACAAAGCCTCCAGGCCGAAAAGAAAGCAACTTCGTGGATCCAACACACTTGGGAAATTTTTGAAAAAATCCTAAGTGTTATGGTAGCCAAGGACCACCGGTCAGGCCGACAAGGCCACCATGCCACAAGGAAGCAACTGTAAAAACCCAAAAACACTTAGAAAATTTTTGAAAAAATTCCTAAGTGTTATGATACTGCATCAACACCGGAGAGGCCGACAAGGCCACCAGGCCGACAAGGCCACCAGGCCGAAAGGAAAGCACCTAAGTGGATCCCAAAACACATAGAAAATTTTTGAAAAAATTCCTAAGTGTTATGAAACTACGTCCAGGCCGATCAAGCCACTAGGCCGTAAAGACAGCAGCTACATGGACCCAAAAACACTTGGGAAATTTTTGAAAAAAATCCCAAGTGTTATGATAGTAAAGCAAAGATTAATAGGCCGACCAGACTACTGGACGGGAAGGCCAACCTCACGGACGTAGCGGACACTCGCGGGTGACCCAAGTTATGACTTGACACTTAGACAACTTACAGAATCGAAATGACAAAAAGCAAAAAAGCATACAAGGGATGCAAAGCCGAAAAGGACAGCAAAAATTTCTTCAATTGATAAGTCAAGTTCATTACAATTGGGGGGCACTTCGGCCGTTACATCATTTGGCAAAAAATTGAAAAGCTAATTACAACAGGGAACAGCCGATCAAGCCTCCAGGGCACCTTCATCCGCGGCTGGCTCTTCAACCTCATCAGCTCCCTCATCGGCCTCAGCTTCCTGGCCGGCAGCGGCTGCGGCGCTGGTGGCATCGTCTAAGAAATCAAATTCAGTATAATCCGGCTCGCCAAGGCTGGAGCTTTCTATGGGGGACTCTCGCTCCGACAGCGGAAGCTTGGCCTGCTCTTCTGGATCCTTCATCAGCTTCGGCAGCTTCAGGTTCCGTCTAGCCCACCCAGACGTGTAATTCATGGCCTTCAACGCCCGGGACAGCCGCCGACACAGGAGCCTTTGCATCCGCTCCTGGCCCAGGTTATAATACACCGACATCTCTCGGCTGAAATACTCCCGGCCAGCGGGGGAGTTCATCCCCCAACTCTCAAGCCTGGCGGCCACCACCTCGTAGCACCAGGGGAGCCTCTCATCGGCCTTCCACCCCTCGGCCAGGAACTTCTCAACGGCCTCGTCAGCAGCCCTCACAGCGGCGGCTTCGGCCTCAGCTTTCGCCTTAACGGCCTCCTCGCTCCTGCGCTTCTCGGCCTCAAGCGCCCTTTGGGACTCCTCGAACTCCCTTTTGCTCTCCTCGAGCTTGGCCAGGGCATCGTCCCTGGCCGCGGCGGCTTCATCAGCCTTTGCCTGCAACGCCTTGGCATCCTCCCGGAGCCAATCAAGGCAAGCTACCGCCTCGTCGGCCGAGGCAGCCTTCTGCTCCAGCCCTTTCAAGCGAGCTATCTCCCAATACTGCCTCTTATGGCTTTCCATAAGCATAAAGGCACTCTGCAGAAGAAAAACAAAGGTCAGGCAAAAGACTCTACACAGACGAAGAGAGACAAAAACAGAGGGACAGTAACTTACTTGGACGAAGAGGTCCATGCCGCCCTCGTAAATCTTCTCGTCCCCGAGCTTCTTCAAGTAAGCCCGATCTTTGGCCGGCATGGCCTGGGCCAGGACGACGTGGCCAGGGACGAGATCATTAAACACGTCCCCGCCGACGGGGTATTCTACCACCTTCTGGTAGGTGGCACCGGCAATCTCCTTGCCGGCCCTCTTCGTCCGTGGTTCCTGGACGAGAGGAAGCGCTGGGGCAGCATCGTCAGCAACAGTAAGGTCCACGACGGGACCACCATCGTCCACGATGGGGGCAGTCAGAGTACCGGCCTCAGTAGCCGGAGAAGGGGAAGGAGCCCTCTTCGTCTTCTTCGAGACGCTCACGCCGGCCTCAGTTAACTTTTTTTGGCCGTCAGTGGCCGGCCTTTTCTTCTTCGACGGAGCAGGCTTTGGGGCCGCATCAGCAGTAGCCCCGCTCCCACCGGCCGCGGTACGTCTGGCCGCCTCGGCCGCCTTAGAAGCAATCTCCTCGGCCGCTTTGGCCTTGGCAATAGCCATCATGGAACGACGGTCCATGACAAAATCTACAAAGGAAAAACACAAACAGATTAGTAAGGCAAAGGACAAAACATAAAGACAGAAAGCCGAAGAAAGAATTACCATCGGCCTCAGCAGGAATGCCCAAGTCCGGGCCGTCGGCCTCCTCAAAGGTGGTGGTCATCCTCGGCCAGAGTTGGAGGTCATCCTCCTTGTCACCATAGACATAGTACCACACGAAGCCGAGGGCGGCCATCTTGTACTCAGTAATGTAATCCTTCACGCTCCTTGGCCCCCCTTCCAGGAAAGCCTCCACCTGAGCGTCCAGAATAGAGCTCTTCGGCGGGTCGTGCAGGTTAAACCTCCCGGTATGGCCGAGGGAGGGAAACTCGGTGCCACTCTCACCAATGGACACAAACACGAACTTGCTCTTCCATCCATGAATGGACGTAGGCAAATCCGTGAAACTCCTCTTCTTCGGCAGCTGCTGAAGAGTAGCATAGGCAGCACAGTTCTTGTGGCTTCCTCGGCCGATCTGGTACAAATTCATGAATAAGGCCGTTGTCGGCCTGTAGCCCAACTCCTCACACCGGAGCAAAAACCCCACCATCAGGGAGTAGTTGTTCGGCGTCAGCAGAGCCGGAGGAAGCCCTACCATGTCCAGATACTCGGTAATGAAAGGATGGAGGGGGAACCTCAACCCCTTAGCAAAACTCATCGGGTATACTCCAAAGTATCCCGGTGGCGGAAGAAGAACATGGTCCGTCGGCCTCGGTGCCCTAACCCGCCCGAACGGCCCCACGTACATCTGGGCAACGAGATAGTCGGCCGCACTGCTTTCCAGCTTGATCAGGAAGATGTTGGTGAGATCCAACTGGGAAGTGCCCGGCCCACTCTTCGGCCTCCTCACTCTCTTCGGCTTAGCTGCTCCCTTCACAGCAGACACCGGCCTCGGGCACAGAATGACAGCAGAAGTGGACGCCCCGTCCACCACTCGGGACGCACCTACGTCCTCACCCTTTGAAGAGGAGGCGGACTCCTCGTCCTCGCCTTCCTCGTCCACTGGCTCTCCGGATTTGTATGGACTTAAACGCTCTATCTCATCCTCAAACTCCTCGAGCACCTCGTAGTCAAGCGACCTCGTGGAGGGCTGGTCGTCATAGGGGTAGTAGTCGTCGTTCAAGCTCTTCATAACTACTACCACGGGCCTAAGGAGACTTAACTTAAGATCTAATGGTGTTCAAACGCCTAACACTAGATCACTAGTCTAGGAAGCAAAATATGAAAAGTGAGGAAGATCGTGATGAACACTAACCTTGAACAACGACGAACACGAAGAACAAGCTTGAGAGTTTATCTCTCTAGAAAAATGGGCAGCACTTCGACAATTTAGAATGCAAATGTGATTCCTCGTCGGAGGGGAAGGGGTATTTATAGACCCCTCCACCCAACGGTCATTACACGTGGCACTCTCCCAATGGCCACATCAACGGCCACCAACGGGAGGCCACCACGTCACCAACGGGCCAGGCCCAACCCACATCATCAGCCCACTGGCAAACCAGACTCCAACGGCCTACACACTTGCCGGCTTTACAAGTACCAGCAAGCGCCCACAACGTCCCACTTGCTCGCCAAGATCACAACTGCCAGACAATAAGGAGACGACAACGGCCAGGAACGTAACGGCCACAAGATCACAGGACCCAAGAGCCCACACGCCATCGGCTCCTCGTCATGATCTTTGATGATAACTCTCTACAAGCGATCTGCGCACAAGGGTTCTCCCACAGGGTTACCTTGGCCAGAAAATCGCCATGAGAGTTGGATTCAGGGGGACTACGGGGAGGCCGCTTCGGCCAGGGATTCAATCAACTCCTTCACCCCTCACACTCCTCGGCCTGAAGCAGTGGGGGACTGGGGGACTACACCGGCCTCAGCAAAACAAAAAGGAAACATCATCAAAGAACATGAATGTGACCACAAAGCATGGCCACATCATCCATACAGCACGATGAAACTTCATCGGCCAACAAGCCACTAGAGGCAAGGACACTCATCGTCCTCCGCCAACAATTAGTCTTGACGGGCCCTTCGGCCAAGAACACGAAGGCCAACCAGCAACGGTCAAAAGGAGTGCGCAAACACCCTCATCGGCCACCCAAAGGAAAGGACGCCATCGTCCTCAAAGCAAGGAATAACTTCAGTGGCCTCATCGACCCAAACACAAACTTCAAACATTAGCGCCCAAGCAAGACGTGCCTTCAACGGCCACCATTGAAAGAAGGACACTCATCGTCCCAAAACAAACACATTAAGGAAACAACGGCCTCCCCGCCCACAGCGAGGAACAGGTAACGGCCAAAGCACAGAACAGGATCACCAAAGAGGAAACAACGCCAACGCCGCAACGGCTAACGGCCCGGGGATGCCCGCATCGGCCAAGGGCAACAAAGCACAGGAATCTACTCTCCTTCGCTTCGTCTACGTCTCAGCTTAGAGAGTGGGGGACTCCTGATGGAGTATATGGGTCTGAGCCCCAGGACCCACATACTCGGAAGAACAGAGCACAAGACAACAGAGTGGCGCCCTCGTCGGCCAAGACGCCCCCGTCGGCCGAAAAGGAGCCAACTCGGATTATGGTCCTGAGTCCAAGGAACCCGGGTGCCCTCGTCGGCCGTGCCCTCGTCGGCCACGCCCTCGTCGGCCAAGAAGACCTCCCAGAATCGGATTTTACACTTACTTATTTGTACAACCCATTAGTGGCTTTGTATTCGGCCCAGTAGCGGTCCAGTTGTAAATGGGCCTCCCAAGCCCAAGGCTTGGGAGCCCAACCCTAATTTTCTCTATAAATACTCCCCTTGGGAGTAGTTATAGGGGTTGACAAATCATTCTATTGAAGCATATTATTGCACTTCTCTCTCTAGCTCTCACTTCTCTCTAGATATACTCTATCAACTACGTAGTTAATACATTTTATGAAGGGGTGGAGAGAAGAGCGGTGAAGGGCTTAGTTTCACGGCGGCGGTCCTAGCAAGTCTAGGTTTTCGGCGTGCGGCGTTATAGCTTTCTTGGCGCTTCAGTGTCCCGAAGGTTTGCTAGTTTTCCGATCTGGAGCACAAATGGGGCGTGACAGCACAGGGGAGATGATAGGGATTTGGAGACTGGTTGCGTTTGGACTGCTTGTGCTCGTGCGGTATGTTGGCCAAGAGATGGAGGCGAATCACGGGCAGATCAAGGTGGTGAAGGAAGAAGATGAAGGGATGAAGATCCGCCCCCCTCCTGAACCGCCGCCATGCTGGAAAAGGGTGATTAGGGGTCGGAACATCGCGCTGGAAGATTGGTTTCAGCGGCTCAATAAGTTCATCCTGCTTAAATTCATTGTCCCCATTTTTAGTCTGTTTTCGAAGAAATTAGTTGCTATCATTTTGCTTTTCGTATTTGCTTATGGTAATAGGTTTTTTACATTGATCGAGGGTTCGGCTAGATTTGATATTGTTAGTGGGGGACGGATCTATGTTTTTAGCATTAGCTACATTAAGCCCGTCTGGTGGTTAGCGATTCGTGTTGCTCCTTTAGGGGTGGTCGTCTCTATGTCTAATCGTAGGGCTAAGAGTAGTAGTTGGAAGATGAAGGTTGTTGTCAGTTCTGGTCATTTTGAGATTGTTTTAACGATCATGATTCTAATGATATCAATATAGTCGTTTTCCTTTCAAAAAAAATGCGTTGAATTGAAAGTTCCGTTTAGTTTTATTCAATTTATTCAGAGAGAATTCTCCAAATAGGAGCAAAACATAGGCAAAATGCAAAAATAGGAGTACCATGTTTTGAATAGGAGTAACTTTAGTGTTTGGACAAGTATATCCCTACCCAAGCCCCAACAACTTTTAATTAATTGTTTAATTCATAATAAATTCGAAAATAATTCATAAAATCGTAGAAAAATAATTAAAAAATTTATAAAATATTAATAAAATAATTTTTTTTTTTAATTTTTTTTTTAAAAAAATTAATAAAAAATAGTAAAACTCCATAAAAAAAATTAAAAAAAATATGGATGCCTTTCCCACCGCCTGTACTACCTCCCTGCACCACCACCTCCAGGCGGTGAAAAAAAATCCATTTTTCCTAAAAACTGCATTTTTTCTGAAAATGCCAAAAACATGGCATATTTCTCTTTGCGAATGCCAACATTTTCATTGTTTTCTGCCATAAATATGGCATTCGTAATGAACTTGGCATTTTTTCCTCTGGTGACTGGAGGTGGTGGTGCTGAGGCAGCCGAGGCGGCGGTGAATTTTATTTTATTTTTTTGAGTTTTTTATTTTTTTTAAAAAAAATATTTTTTTTATTTTTTGAAAAATAAATAAATAAATAATATATTATTGAATAAGTCCTAAATTAACTAGGTTATGATTAAATAATTAAGTCATATTTTAGAATTAACTAGGTTAGGGATGTTAAGGGTACAAACTTAATGTTTACTCCTATTGAAGGGAGTTTTAAATTTTACTCCTATTTGTGCAATTATGTTTATATTTACTCCTATATTGGGCAATTTCTAATTTATTTATCAAAAGTGATCATACGTAGTATATACGATATTATTACGTAGTTCATACAAATGAAATGACGATTTACCATGAATATAATACGGAGTACAATAATTTCGACAAAGTATAATCTATTAAGATAATATTCTGAAGTATGGGTCTACTGTCATTCTGCATTTCTGCTGACTGAGTCACCGTGACTAACCTCTCCACCATCATGTCGAGTCGGGTGGGGGCTTCTGGGGTGGGAGATTCTACCATTGTGAAGTATTTTTAGTGATACCATAAATTCTTGAAAACAGGTCATGTCGGTCAGAACGGAAATAAATTCAACTATTCAAGTTTCAACCGAATTTACATTGTCCAAACAAACTCTTATATTTTGGTGCATGTACTCCCCCCGTCCCATAAAATAAATCTCACTTTCCTTTTTGGGTCATTTCATAAAATTGTTCTCATTTCCTTCTTTGGAAAGTTTTGTGTGGCTAATGTTCGTTTACCTTTTTTTTACTCAACCACAACCATACATTTCCACTTTATTCTCACTTTCTTAAACTCGGATCCAAAGTACTCCCTCCGTCCCGAATTGAATTGCAAACTTTGACCGCCACAAGGATTAAAAAATGACAATAAATAATGCTTGCTTTTTTACACTTTTGCCCATCTTCTAAAAGTAGATGCCTTTAAGTTAATGGAGAAAAAATAAAAGTAAAGGTAAATTTGTCACTTTATTCTTATTTACATATCTAAAATAGAAAGTGGAAAACCATTTTGGGACAACCAAAAAAGGAAATTTTGTAAATCAAATTGGGATGGAGGGAGTATTTATTAGTGGAATTAGACCACCAACTTTGACTATATATCATGAGTGAATGAACTGGTAGTCGTTGGGAAATATAGCTCCATCTGAGTAAGAAGGAAATAAGTCCATTTACCCGCACGGGTAGCTCAGTTGGTTCAGTGGTGGGAAATTTGGACCAAATGACCAAGGTTCGAAACCCGCAGCGACCGTGTGGAGGTCACAGAACCTAAAATAAGACTGGACCTCTGGTGCGCACGGGAAAAAGGCCTACCATCATTGGGCCGACTGAGTCACCGTGATTAACATCCTCCCAAAAATCCTGTCGGGTCGGGGTATGGGGGGCTCCTGGGGTGGAAGATTCCACCTTTTGGACCAAAAGGAAATAAGCCCATTTTGTCTATGACCGAATAAAAGTACATTACACCAATTTTTGCCGAGGTGATTTAATTATAACAATTTTATCAACTTAAAAGACGCCATTTATGAATCCAGGGGCGGCCTTGTATATTTGAAGGCCTAGGAGAGAATAATTTAAAATGAGCCTATTTTCAAAAAAAAATATAAAACTCGATTCTGTCTAAATTAACATGTAAAACAATAATATTTGAAAAATTCTATAATAAAGAAAATACTTGAATTCATTAAGTTAAACATAATCAAATCACGTTTTTGAAATAACCAAATAAGAATTTACTTAAATACATTCTTTGCTGAATATTGTGAAGCAAAATCGTCAACTATAGTCTATAACTTCATAATAAAGCTTTTCTAACGCATTATGCTCAATGCTTAATATAGTTAATTCATTAAACCTTTCTTGAGACATCGTTGATCGCAGATATTTTTGAGAATCTTCAACATTGCAAAACTTCTTTTCGCAGTGGTCACCGTTACCGGCAGTCCGGCTAGGTGCTGAGGAGGTGATATTTTATGTGATATTTATTGGTGCAGATAGGGAGGAGCAGGAGGGGGTCTTGGCCCTTTCAAGAAAGAAATTCTTAAGTATATATTATGTATAAATACTTTGAATTTAGAGAAAATATGTTGATATTTTAAACTTTGGCCTCGACAATTAAAATTTCTCAAAGCTCGACCCCTTAATCGTATATTTCTGACTCCGCC